TGTTGCCCAGGCTGAGAGCCTGCAGAATCCAGGTACCTTATAGAAACCATCTTTAAATCTGTTGTTTGTTTGTTGATGTTTTGTGCCCTGGCTGGTGTGGCTCAGTTGGTTGAGCATCATCCCATGCACCAAAAGGTCATGGTTCGATTCCTCAGGGCACATTACCCAGGTTGCAGTTTTGCCCCCTAGTCAGGGTGCATACGGGAGGCAACCAGCCGATGCGTCTCTCACATGGATGTTTCTCTCCCCCTTTCTCCCTCCCTCCACTCTCTCTGAAAAGCAGTGGGAAAAATGTCCTCTGATGAGGATTAAGAAAAAGATAATAAAAAGTTTTTTTAAAAGGAAGAAGCGTTACAGTTGGGGATTTATCTAGCCCCACTCTCTCCCGATCCTAGACTATCTCTTGTACGTTTGCTGCATCAGGGATGCACCGCCTCTGAGCCCAGAGACGCTGGATTGATGAGGATTAAGAAAAAGATAATAAAAAGTTTTTTTAAAAGGAAGAAGCGTTACAGTTGGGGATTTATCTGGCCCCACTCTCTCCCGATCCTAGACTGTCTCTTGTACGTTTGCTGCATCGGGGATGCACCGCCTCTGAGCCCAGAGACACTCCCTGGACACCCTGGCTGGGGGGACTCCAAAGAGGGGGATTCCCGACCTTCCACCACCGAGCTTCTAAGCAAGGGAACGCTCAGTAAATCAGGGGTTTACCAGGGGATTGTTCCCCGGGGAGCGGGGTGACAGTTAACTCGGTACATTGCTATCCGGGCACAGAGAGCCAGGCTCCGGGCCAGCGGGACGCGGTGCGACGGAGCCAGATTGCTGGTGGCGGGCATGACAGCAGCAGCTTCCCTTGAAGACACAGACCATCGACTCGTCACAGCTGGTTCCCACTAGACCGAGCCGCTGTACCGTGCGAAGTTAATTTTATGTGTCGTTTTAAGTAATACGCGCATGTTCCCCTCCCTTAATCACAGCGTAATTCCTGGATGGCGGCCAGACTCCCTCTTCTCTGCTCCCACCCCAGAGGCTCTGGGCCCTGCACCAAGTTTAAGTCCAGTACGGAGCACCCACACGGAGCAGCCCTAACACGTAAAATCCGGATGTTGCCATTGAACACAGAGCTGCTGCTTCGTGGGGAGCAGGATTCGCACGGTCACCTTCAGGTAGCGAAGCCCAGCATGCAGAGGCTCCACGGGGTGGGGGACATGTCGGCTTCTCTCCCAGCTCCCACCTCAGCCCCGGAGGGAGGGGCGACATGCCTGGTCCCTGCCCACCCGCACAAAGACACGCTGGGTCCCTCACCCTCCGTGTTCCGCCCTGTGCGTCCCGTCCCAGGAGACGTGTCCTTCACAGGCCAGAGCCTGGTGTTCACGGGGTCACATCCAGGGCTGAGTCTCGGAATTGAGAGGCAGTGTCCATATGCCCTTTGCTGTCTTTTCTCCTCTCCTCATTCTACCCCCTACCCCTTTGTCTCAGGGAGGGGCTGACCTGGCAGCCTGGTTGAACAGTCCTGGCTGATCCCCAGGGCAGGTGGGTGAGAGGGCCATGGGATCTGCAGACACAAAGATTTGGGGAGGGGAGAGTAGAACCTCCATCCCACCTTCCTTCCTGTGATGTCCTGGTTTATAATGAAACTAGAGGCCCAGTGCACGAAATTCACGCACAGATAGAATCCCTAGCAGCTGCCAGCTGCTGGCTGGAGGTGGGGGTGGGGCTCCCTTCCCCCAGCTGCCTGCCACCCCTGCCTCCCCCTGGTCGAACTCCTGGTCAAACTCCTGTTTGAACACCTGGTTGAGGGGACAATTTGCATATTAGGCTTTTATTATATTATAGGATGGATGTACTTGATCTTTGTCCTGTTTCTGGCACAGAGCTCCCCAGGCCCTCAGGATTTCCTTGGGAAGAGAGCAGGCGTGGCGAAGGTGAAATGGTGTGTGGTTATGCTCACCACAGGTGGCGTGGGACGGTGCCTGAGGATGGGCTGGGTGGCGACCAGGGAACCACCCTGTGACGAGAGGGTTGGAACCACAGACCTCTGGGGAGGGGAGAGGATGGAGATCGGGTCCCATCACCCCTGGCCGATGATGTCATCCATCACACCCGTGTAAGGAACCTGCCATAGAAGCACTAAGGACAGGGTTCGGAGAGCAGCATACGGGTTTGGGGGAGTGGCACTCTCAGGGAGCACGGGAGCTCTGTGCCCCTTCCCAGATGTCGCCCTGCACCCCTCTCCATCCGCTGGTCCTGAGTTACATCCTTTCATAATGAACTATGAGTAAACCGTCTCTGAGTTCGTGAAACATATGTCCCCATATGTTCATATCTAAATAACGAACAAATTAATTCCAGCAAATTAGTCAAACCCAAGGAGGGGGCTGTTGGGTCCACCGCCGATGGGTCAGAAGCCCAGGTGACAACCTGGACTTGTCTCCAGGGAGACAGTGTCCGACCAGGTTAAGCTGGCCACCCAGCCGGCGTAGAAGAACTGCTCCGCGTGTAAACCGCTCATCCCATGTCGGGAGTGACGTGTTGCAGGGGAGTCTCGAGCGCAGAGGAGACACGCAGGGGTGTCCTTCTCCCCTCCGCAGCTCGTCCTCCAACCCCACCATCCCCAGCTCCAGCGCCCGCCCGCCGACCGCGTTTCCTTAGTGGAGCACAGCCGAGGCCCAGAGGTCCTACTGGCCACTCAGGAACAGGGCAAGGCGGGCACAGTGAGGGGTGCCAGGCAGCTCTGAGCCGGGAAGCGCAGCCTCCGTGTGCTCACCACTCAGCTCCAGGGCGGGGGACTCGCTTCTCTCCCAAAGGCTGGCCAGGCTGGTGCCACGTGAGCATCCAGGACAGCTGAGAGCAATGCCTGGGCACCTTTCAACTTGCTGTTTTCCCCCGGGGGGACCTCCTCCGGCCCTCCTTCTGCGGGAAGTGTGCCACGCTGAGGGGCAGATGGAGACACGGGTGGCAGCCTGACCCGATGCCACCCAGACAGTCCTCACGTCCTCACCCGCAAGGCAGCGCAGCTGATGGCACAGAGACTCAACCAGACCTGGGCCGTGTCTGTGCACCCGACCACCATCACTTCAACTCCACTGCCTCTTGCAAGGCTGTATCTACCCATCTCTGTGGCTGCACAGAAACATATGTCCCGTGTTTAAATAACGAGCAGCAGGAAAACGCCAGGCCGCGCTGCTGCTGGCGGCTCCGCTCTGTGGAGAGATGCGAAACCCTCAGGCGGTGTGGGCTCAACACCAGAACGACGCCCGGGACCCAGCCTGTCCCCACAGCACAGCTTTCCGGGGGCTCCATCTGATGGTGGCGAGGGCTTCCAGAAGTGTCTGCCCTCAGAGAGATTCAAAGTGCACTTCCTTCACCGTGGCATCCATCAGAGCCCCGGCTCATCGCACCCCATGGGCGGTCAATCTCAGGGGGATCCCCACTGCAGGCTTCTCCGCCCTCCTGCCCACACAGGTGCGGCCCATGGCTGTGTCTGGGTTCGAGCGAGCTGCCTGGACACTAACAAGAATAAGCCGAGAGCAGGACTGGAAGGTCACAGCCCACAGGGTTCCCCGGGACACGCCCCGCTGATGGCGCAGACGGCACCTGGCACCCGCCATGGCTGTGATGCCACCCTCTCAGTGTGCCGCCCCCCCACCCATCTGCCCACCCCCCCAACACACACACAGCCCCCACAACCGCATCCTGCTCTCTAAGCTCCGGTTCTAAAATTGTTTTTTCCTGGAATAACCTTTTCATTCTGCCTCCAAATCACTCCATGCTGACAGGGCATTTAAGAACCCAATGCTGCTCGCTCCCAAAGGTATTTGCAGTGACTCCTTGGAGGAGTCCTCACCTTTTTCTGTGTGTTTAGCAATTTTACTTTCACTGGTGTCGTTATGAACTGCCACCCACTACTCTTCCTGGGCACAGGGAACCCTCTGGAGCTGGGGGCACGCACGCGCCTTTTCTGCAGACGCCGGGCTCGCTGACGCACACACACACCAGCATTCTTATTTTAACACATGTTCGCAGATGCCCTGCCGTGGAACCGCATCACGTAAACGCCGCTTTCCCCCCTGCAGGGTGTGAGCGCGTGCAGAACTGTACCTGCCATGAGCTGCCAATTAACGTTTAAGCCCCATCTCACCTGAGGAGCACGCATCCCTCTCTGGTGACAAGGCAAGGCTCTAGCTCCTTGCTTTCGGGGTTCAGGCCTCTTACCAGGGGGAGCCGGGCACCGGAGTGGAGGCCACGGGTCTGCTGCCTTTGGCCGCGTTGTCCTCTCCTGTCATGAGGATCGGTGGAGGCTCCTTTCAGCAGAAAGAGAAGAAAAGCGCCTTTTATGCTTTTATTTAAACACTTGTCTTCAATGACAGGCAACCAAGTAAAGAATAACAAGTCTCCTGCAGACAGACCTGCCTACAGTGCCCGTGAGATAATGACCTGCTCTGAACAGCACAGCCAAAGGGACCAGGCAATTAGGCTGAGAAGATGGAATTCGCGGCACAGCAGAGCGCGGGGAGTAACTCAGACACAGGCACCCTAATTATCCCGAAGGAGCCACACCGTCTGCTTTCACAGGCACGAGCCGGGCAGAGCAGCCAGAGGTGGCTCCCGGGTGCCGTAAGTTCTTGGCGGCAGACAAGCCCGCCGGATTCATCTCCAGAAACGGTGACCCAGCGGCTGGAGTCACAGTGCCACCAAAACACTACAGTCGGGGGCAGAGAAACCGAAAGCTGAGAGAGGCCCTGGTGCGGCTGGGGCTGGCCCATCCCCATCCTTGACAGCAGGAGGGAGCAATGAGCCACGACCTTGCAGAGGCTGGTTGCGCCCTTGGCCGTCCCCTCCTGGAGCTCCCAGCTGGGGTCAGAGTTCAAGAGGCAGCGCAATGTGCAGGTGGTGTGTATACAGCTGGGTTTGAAAAGCGCCGTGTTTCTGTGTCTCTATTTATAAAATAAAGAAGAGGCCGTGAACACCTAGAAGAAAATGGAGATTTCTTTTCTCTCAACTTAAAAAGAAAAAGAAGCCCAGCCGGCGTGGCTTAGTGGATGAGCGTCGACCTAGGAACCAGGAGGTCATGGTGAGAGTCCTGGTCAGGGCACATGCCCGGTCGAGGGCTGGACCCCCAGTGGGGGGAGTGCAGGAGAAGCAACTAATGATTCTCTCTCATCATTGATGTTTCTCTCCCTCTCCCTTCCTCTCTGAAACCAATAAAAATATATTTTAAAAAAGTAAAAGGAGCCGAAACCGGTTTGGCTCAGTGGATAGAGCGTCGGCCTGCGGACTCAAGGGTCCCAGGTTCAATTCCGGTCAAGGGCATGTACCTGGGTTGCAGGCACATCCCCAGTGGGAGATGTGCAGGAGGCAGCTGATCGATGTTTCTCTCTCATTGATGTTTCTAATTATCTCTCTTCCTTCCTCTCAGTAAAAAATCAATAAAATATATTTAAAAAAAAAAAGTAAAAGGAAACCCCACGTGTCTATAAGGTGAGCTAAATCTCCAACACATACACCCACCGTGCTCTGTCCAACGTGGACGACAGAGGGAGGCTGTGGCCTGTGGACACCGTCCACCCGTGAGCTGAGGACCGAGAGGGCTCATGTCATCCAGACCAAATGGCCGAGAGGAAGGACGAGCAGCCCTGGGGTGGAAAGGTGCACCCGGGAGCGTCCCTGCGTGGTCTCTGGACGGGCACACCGGGCGGGGCGTCTGCTAACGGACAGACAGGTCACCTCAGGAAGGAGGGGTCATCCATTCACACGCGCGCCTCGGGGTTGTCCTGGGTCTCCCCACGCCCCTCTGTTCTTTGCAACAAGTGACTACCCTACGGAAATGACTTGTAAGTATATGGTTGCCCCTCGGTTTGTAAGCTTCGGCGCACTCTCTCTTGGAACTTCGGGGGAGAAGAAACTGCCTTTGCTTCCCGTGATCGAACGGGGCCGAGAAGAATAATTCACAGGACAGGGAATATTCTGAAAGGGCTGCATTGAAAAATACATTAAGACCGGAGTTTGTATGACTAATCCAATTAGAAAAACGAGGGGAAAGTTTCATTATGGGGCTAATTGAACAGGCTCAACACAGTGAGGGGCTGCGGAGTAGTAGACGATCCTGCTAATTACTCGGGGAAGGACGGTGGGCCGTGATTCGTGAGGGGCGGACACTTAAATTCGGCGGCGCTGGGACTGGGAGCCGCTAATTGCCGAGGCCCTCGCTCGTCCCGAGGCCCGCGCAGGTGATGGCTTCCTGTTGGTGATAAAAAATGGCTAATCAAGGCATAACGCTCCCCTTCCACGCTGAGGTAATAAAAGTGAATTAGACACGCAGAGCAAAGTGATAAAGAAAGTAGTTAGGGCCCTAGAAAGACTGATTAATAAATGTCACCCTGGTACAGCTCGGCTCTCTCAGAGTGAAACCCTCCACCGAGGAACAAAACGTTCATTTGCACTAACATCCGGGATCCGTTCACACCAGTTGCTGGGCACTGAGATGGGCGGGAGGCCGTGGACACCGCGGTGGTGCCTGGACTGCCGCGCTGGCAGGAAAACCAGGGAACGGGGCCGTCACAGGCCCGAGGCAGAGACGGCCGAGCAAGCCAAGTGAGAGGGAGTGTGAACGATGCACTGGGCGGACCAGGGGCCTCGGCCCATCTGACAGATCCGGACAAAATAAGCCCCAGCTGTGATTTTCCAATGCAGCCACGACAGTGGGTCTCTGGGGTTCTTCACGTGACAGCAACGTGCCCCATGCATCCATGGTTGGTCCTTAAAATGCCTTTGGCAATTGGGCAAAGAGAAGGTCTAAACCAGAATGTGTTAAAAAACAAATGTGTGTTGGGTTTTCTTGAAAAGTCACTGCCAAACACTGACACGCCTTGCCCGAGGGGTGCCTGCCGCAGCCTGGCCGCTCTGCGTGCACAAGCTTCCCGTGAAATGTGGGGACAAGGACACGGGAGCGAGGGTCACACCCAGTGAGCTCTGCTCTCCCCAGCCTCTCCCACGCCATATCCTTCCTGGGGCATCCGCTGCAATTTCTGGGTGTGACCGTCCTGCACAGGGGCTGGCCAAGCATCCGTGCGCATCCCCACGTGGGAAAGCCGGTGGGAAGGGTGTGCAGCCCAGACCGGCCCGCTTCCCCCCCTCCCCCCTCCCCCCGCCAGGATTCCACGTCCCGAGACCGACCTTGTGTCCTTCGTCCCTGGCCGGGCTCTTCCTCTCCGCGCGCAGCATCAGGGCAGGAGGGCGGGGCGTGCGGACCCGGTCCCTGCTTTTCTCTGCTGGACCAAAACAGTCGTCATTAGCTTCCCCTTGGTCACGTCCGTTTGGAGAAAACTAAACAAGGGCAGCATGTGGCCTGGACGGTGGTCTCGTGGCAAGTCCCTCCAATGAGGCCCAGCTCCTCTGGTGACCCCGTCTGTGCCTGCTCGCAGCCCTACCCCCAACGCTGTCGGCCACACCTGGACCAGGCCACATGGGCTATGGGTGGAGGGGGCACGGGCTCCCTGACAAGGACAAGAGGCCAACGGGGACCAGGTTTCTTAGGCTTCCATGGCTCGTGGCCACCACTCCTGTCTGCTCATCGCTAACGTGGCCGCTGGCTTTGCCATGGGCCAGACAACCCTGCACTTCGAAGAGTAGTTCTTTAGGAGACAGAAGGAGAAACGTCAAAAAACCTGGATTCTGAACATAAAACAATTTAGGTTTCACCTTGTTCTAAAACGTCTACAGAGACCTTAAACGTTTGTGAGTGGGAGAGAGGTGCCATGAGCAATGCCGGGATTAACCACTGTTCATACCAAGAATTAGGAGAGGAGCCCAAACCATCAACCTCCCACCCACCTCACAGCCACAGCCACTGAGGAGCCCTGAGGCGCTCATGGCCCTGTAGGCCAGGACCCTGTGGAAGCCTCTGTCCAGCCCAGGAAGGTCCAGGGAGGGCCCGGCGGGAGGGACAACATGAAGACAGCGGCATCCCTTTACACACGTGTGTTCCTCTGCAAATGCACACGCACACACGGAAGTGGTGGGAAGTCGCCTCAAGGTCCCCTCCAACTCAGGCATCTGCACTTGGAGGGCAGAGGTGGGGGGAAGGGCCAAAGAGCCCATCCCACCTGCACCCCATTTTCCTCAAGACACGGCCACTATGGCCTCCTCTGACCCCCATTCTGGGGAGGAGGTTGCAGGAAGGGACTACGTAGGCTGGACCCCACGTGGGGCCCGAGCATCATGCCTCTGGAGGCGTCTGTACCAGGAACCCTCGTAGCTGCAGGCAGCGCAGAGGGGACAACTCTGGACCTGGACCGATGTCCGGTCCCCACGGGGCTGCTGCCTCTGGAAAGGCCGAAGCACACAGAGCCGACGGGCCCCCTCGTCTGTCACGTGATAGATGGGTGGACAGCAACGTTACGACCACAGCGAGGCTTGCTGCCCACTAGCTGTCACTCTGAAGACCCAGCGGACTCTCCCCAGCAGCCAGCTGGCAGGTCAGGCTGTTAAGGGGGCCCGGAGCTCAGGCTGGTGGCAAACAGACCATGTCCTCACACAGAGGCAGCACCGGCCCCAGAATCCTGAGCAGCTGTGGCCACAACCAAGAGGCACGCCTCGGGGCCTGGCCATGCCAAATACAGGTCTGATCACGACTGGCTTTGGGGAAGGTGGACAGGGAAGGTCTCCTGGAAGTCTGGGAGGGGCTGCGGGGAGGGGGAACGGGGTCCACACAGGAAATCTCTACATAGATCACCTGTCGAGTATGTATTGCCTGCTCACGGGGAGCCAGAACAGCCTGGGGTGTTTGTGGGGAGCGATCAGCTTCTTCCCTCAAAATGCATCAGGACCTGGCAAGGCTGACCCAAGGGCAGGAGAGGAGCCCTTGGGGGCAGGGGTGACAGTGGCAGGACCGTATCCCTTTGAAAAGTGGGGACAGAAAAGCCGGCTCCTTCTCTGGGGCAAGACGTAGCTTGGCGCTCTCTTGCGGCTCAGCAATTCATTGACCTCGTTCCCGTGAGAGAAGAATGCGGCGGGCTTGCCCGCGTCCAGACTCCACAGCCAGCTCTCCAGCCGTCGCCTCTTGGTCAGGGGTCCAGATCGAAGGCACCTGCTCTCTGAGAGTCTCAGAAATGAAGACGCAAAGGCACCTGCCATCCCCTGGGGTCAGGCCCCAGATCAAGGGCAGCGTGGACGGGACAGGAGGGGACGGGCCAGGAGGGGACGCGACAGGAGGGGACGGGCCAGGAGTGGTTGTGTGCCCTGGCCGCGGCGAAAGAGACCACATCCAATAAAGCACTAGGATGTGTTTAAACATTCAAAAAATGGCTTTTTAAAAATTACTGAAACAAAGAACTATGGCAGACAAGTCGAACGGTCTAACTTGTCAAACAGATGCCCGGCCGGGGGAACTCACAGGCTGTCACAGCTCGATTCCCAGTCAGAGCACGTGCCCAGGTTGCCGCTCCATCCCCGGTGTGGGGTGTGCAGGAGGCAGCCGGTCAGTGATGTTTCTAGGCCCGCAACCAAGGTACATGCCCTTGACCAGAATCGAACCTGGGACCTTTCAGTCCGCAGGCTGACACTCTATCCACTGAGCCAAACCGGTTAGGGCTATATGTTGTTGTTGTTTTTAAAAAAAGAAAAGAAAACAAGACTGAGAAATATATCAGCATCTCCTAATTGGAAGAGTGATTCTGAAATTCAACCTAATTTTAATTCAGTAATATTGACATCTCCCGCTCTCAGTTTCCTCATCTATGAAATAATCTTCTAAGTTCCTTCCCATTCTGGGATTCCATAAGTCCACAGGACACAGGGAACTGCCTGCGTACACCCCAAAGCAACACAAGACGAACACGGTGGCCTTGGAGGGCTGGTGAGAACATGCGTCCTCTAGATCCTGGTGGGGAAGGGGGCTCATTCCCAACTCAAGGACAGGGAGTAGCCCAAGGAGTAGGCAGGACAGAGGATTCACTGTTCCTGTTCTGAAAAGCTAAGCAACCTCTGACGGACTGTCTCTTTGGAACCAACCTTCTCCGAAGAATTTGTGGGAAGCCTCCCCTTAGACTGAGAGGACCCACACATGATCCGAACCACATGCCCTGGAGGCGCTGTAGCTCGGAGGGGGCACTGGGATGAGGAGTTCCTGGTTGTGGCAGACCACGGGCCCTTCCGGGAAGGGTTTACGAAGAAAATCCATGGCGACATCTGTGCACCTGGCCTCGGCCCGCAGCCAATGGAAGGCCTCCTGGGACGAGCTTGGCAAACAGGTCATTGTCGGGGGCCCGTGCTGGGGACAGAATACTCTCTGGTGACCTGTTCTTGGTGAGGCCTGGGAGGGATGTGGGGGAGGCAGGGGACAAGCCCAGAGCCACTGGGGCCCATTTCCTGTCGGCCACAATCCGGGGGCCCCATTTCTGCGTGTACATGTTCTCACCTCCAAGAACACATAACAAACACCCACCTACAGAGACGCCGTAAGGCAGTGGTTCTCAGCCTTCTGGTCCTTTAAATACAGTTCCTCATGTGGTGACCCAACCATAAAATTATTTTCGTTGCTACTTCATAACTGTCATGTTGCTACTGTCATGAATCGTAATGTAAATATCTGATCTGCAGGATGGTCTTAGGCGACCCCTGTGAAAGGGTGGTTCGACCGCCAAAGGGGTCGCGACCCACAGGTTGAGAACCGCTGCCATAAGAAGAATGGGTGGCATTTTAGTCCAGTGTCTGCCCGTAAGCACCACCTGAACATCATTTCTGCAGCCAGCAGGGCAACCTCCTCGCTCACACAAAAGGAAAACAGACGAGGTGTGCTGTGTTCCAGGTGACAAGCGAGCCTCCAGGGAGGGCTACGATTATTTGTCCATTTAAGCAGCCCTGGGCTCCTTTGAGAATCGTGATAATAAGGGAAAAATGCAATTTATGTTGGAGATAATAGAGATGACACACTCAGGCCCACTGTCTGCGGCTCTCAATGAGGCTTGAAGAATGCATTGATTTTCAGAGCCTGCCTCCTCCGCAAGAGCGGAAACACTGAGCGGACGGGGTCCTGGGGAAAGCGGCTGGAGCCTGGTCTTCATGCTGCCCGAGGGGTAAATCGCACAAGCTGCTGGTCCAGGTGCTAACAGAGGGGAGAGAGACACAGCCAGCCCCAGAGAAGCCTGAGGGGCCCGAGGGCTGGGATTGACGGGGTGCTGGGGGGGGCCTGGCCACAGCTCAGTGAGGGGAGCCCAGCACAGAGCCCAGGGCCCCTGTCCTTGGACATGGTCACTGTCCAGTCCAGCTGGGCGTGCAGGGCTAGGGGGCTTAGAGGAGGGATCCTGGGGTGTCAGGGGCACACACCATGCCCTGCTGCCGGCTGTGATGGAAGCAGGCACCAGGGGCTCAGGGACCCTCCATCTGCACCCGCCTCCCCTCACGCGCACAAAGACAAGACCATTATTATGATGATGGGTTTGTAGCGATTACAGGCTATAGATAAATGGGTTCCTCTAAATCCACTGTTTAGTTAGAACGGGAAAGAAGCTGACGCATGTATGCAAAACACAAGCAAAATGTCAGCATTGCGACTTTCTAAAGGTGACATAAAAAATAAGTCGTCTGTTATAGTAACAGCCTCTGCATACCAGGCTGCTTCGAGACGGGGACGGAAACTGCCCCAAAGTGTACGGTTCCCTGATCGGGGGTCCGCCTCCCTCCTCTGCCACCAACGGCACGTTCTTGTCTCCTGCTCCGTGGGCATGAACCCCTCCCGGGTGTGCAGGGGGCGGGGAGGGCTGTGCCTGGTCTGCCGAGGCCACAGAGGTGGCAGGTCCACAGCAGGGACAGAGTTCCCGGGGTCACCAGCCTGCACGCCTCCTGTCCCCGCGGGAGTCTGACCGTGCTCTCCCACTGCCGCTTCACTGGGCCTTGAACAAGGTCTGTCTCCACTATATTTCCTTCTAGCAATCAACCTGGTGCGCTGCCTTTTATCTCCCAGCCTCCTCAGTGAGACATTATGAAGTCTCCCCTCTCTCACCCCCAGGCTTTTCATCTCCCCCGAGTTCTCCTCGGAGCTTTAACAAACCGCTGCCTCCACAGGGGCCTAGAGTTGTTGGAATGGAAACAGCAAAGCTCGAGGCCCCACGGCCCCTGCCCCAGCGGGTGCAGACCCTGGTGGGCGCACGGACACGAATCTGCCTTTGGCCCCGAGAACTCTGCCTCAGAGCCCAGGGGTCTCCGGGGGCGCGGCCACCTGTCTTACTTGAGCAGGATTGTGGATGCAAAGCAAGGCGGCGGCATGAAC